GATGAAAAGTAGTTTTTTTCCTCTTGTTTGAAGCCTACAGAGATAGTCTGCCTTCTGTGGATTGGCCCTACTAGCTTTCACTCTCAAATTCTGGGCTCACTATAGTCCTGCTAAAGGATTTTTGTTGTCCTGGGACCAGTTAAATGAATTATTAGTTTAGTTGGCCCAAATCTGCACTATTAAAATGCATGCAGTGGGTTGAACGGTGGCTCCCCAAAAGACATATTTACATTCTAATCCCTAGAATCCATGTTCTAATACCTGATTTGGAAACAAGGTCTTTGCAGATGTTATTAAATTAAGGATCCTGAGATCAGGAGATCATCCTGGATTATCTGGTGGAGTCCATTGGTGAACCCATGTGTGCAGAGTAGAACTGCTCCACTGGGTTTTCAGGGCTGTGACCTTTTTGTCAAGCTGGTCTGAGGCACCTCTGGGTTGGTTTGAAGTGCCAGCTTTCCAGATAGTAGCTGAGTACTTAATTGTTTGTCTGGATTTATCTGGGTGGGCCCTAAATCCAATGACAAGCGTCCTTATAAGAGAAAGGGGGTGGGGAGAGGATTTGAGGTAGGCAGAAGAGAGGGAAGACAGACAAAGAGAAGGTGATATGAAGATGGAGCCAGCAACCACCACAAGCTGGAAGAAACGAATGGATTCTCCCCTAGAGCCCTCAGAGGGACTGTGGCCCTGCTGACATCTGGCCTCTAGAAATGTGAGAGAATAAATTTCTCTTGTTTTAAACCACCATGTTTGTGGTAATTTCTTACGGCAGCTACGAGGAACGAACAGAACAATTTAACAAAAATTTCATATGAATTAACAAGGCAAAAATATTATTAGTATCTTTCTTTAAAAGAAGTCAAAACACTTTCATCATAACTTAACAATTAAGTTAAAATAGGCTGATGGACTGCTGAATAACATATCCTCCATTTTATGGATAGGAAATTAAGGTAAGATACCTAAGCACTTGACTGCTAACTGGAAGTCTGGTGGTTCAAACCCACCAGCCACTCCTCGGAAAGAAGATGGGGTAATCTACTTCCGTAGTGATACTGCCTCAGAAACCCAAGGAGGGGTAGCCAGGAGTCAGGTCCGACTCGACGGCACATAACACCACCACCACTTAAGGTCACAGTTGGTGAGGAACTGATTGGTTTCTATCCTTGTATATTTTACATTAAAAATCAGTCTCAATATAAAAATACATCTCACAAACAGTGTTTGATATTTGGCTTTACTTTATAAAAATACACAACTTAAATACATATGACACTCTCTATACAAGACATAAACAATCGGTAGATTTAACATTTTCAGTTATTTCAACAGAAAGCAAATATGTGTATTACTTTATAAGAACAAAAAATAGTTTAGTTATAGACCCTGCATTCACAGATAAAGGAGGAAGAATGCCCGAAGAGCAATTGATTAGGAAAGCTTAGAAAACCATTCAACTTTCCAACAAAAGTCATTTCACCAAGAGGGCCTTTATTGCACGGCTTCATATTGCACTGCCTGTTAGACACAATCTAACTTATCCACATCACAAATTTAAGCTGCTTCTTCTCTAGCAATGTTTAAGGGAGAAAAACAATGCACAAACAGCATTAACTGTGTTTTACAAACGTACTATAAACACTACTTATGAGAAGTACGAACCTCTCTTCACTTTGTAAAACTTGAAATGGAAGGTGCTTGGGTATACCGTGCTGCTGAATTCATTTTCAAAAGCTCTGCAAAAATGTTGGCAGACTCAGAGGGAACTAAAATGTGTGCAGAAGAGAAGGAAATGACATTGCAGCATCTACTGAGTTATTTGTGAGAAGGTCACTGTCAGAGACAACGTGCACACGGCTACAGTGCTACCCTTTTTAACTTGTCTCCCTCTCTTGATTTAGTCATTGGTCTATGAGGAGCAGCTACTTCATTACAGATTTAGAGCTTGCAGGGGTTGCTTTCTTACTCTGAAATTTACCTGCCTTATCTATGGCTCATTTAACTAATAGTGAATTAGGTGCTAGTTTATAGGTACAAAGGAACATTTACCAGTTCAGAATTCAATATATGAGAACTTACTAAATTTCCTCAGTAAATAACAAACGATGTGCAGTTTATAGAATTTTAGCACGTTATCTTGGGTAGCAGCACAATGACCCGTAGTCTGAACTTTCAAATTAACAGGATAACAAAACCAAGGGCACATTTAGGTAAAGAAATGAAACTGATGTTGAAGTAAAAGAACTATTGACAGTTAAATTGCAATGAGAATATTAATGCAAACGGAGGCACAAAGGGGGAAGAGAGGAACAAAAGGATGGTGTATTTTAAAGTGCTAAAGTAGGTTGGACGCTTAATTTGAAATGCCACCAGGGATTTCTAACAAGTTTAGAAAGTGTTACTTCTTGGTGACTCAGATGTGGAAGAAATGGCTTTTCTTTAAGAATAGCTGTTCAAACTTCTAATTCTTTTTTGAAAATCAAGATTCTCTAAAACAAATTCTTGACCAGTGAGATGACTCTGCTAGTTGTTCCTCTCTCTGAAGTATTCTGAAACCCTAAGTGGCTGAAGGATTTGAACAAGCTTCAACTACAACTTATCTGAATAAGCTTGATGTCTGCATCAAGAATTTAAATTAATGTATAGAGATCTATAAAGTTTTGCATGAAGTTAGTACTTGAAACAGTTTTCATCGCAAATTATGCTTTATTATTTCTGCTTGAGGATTATTGAACTCAGAAAAACTCTAGGACCCTACAGCTTAGTTTTCTTATTTTCTTCCTTTTACATAAATGAAGTGGTTTGGGGCCATCCTTACTGCTGATAACGAAGGTATTCAAAACTGAGTCTCAAGACCTAAGAATAAAGATCTAAATTTCAGCAAGTCATATCTTCATGATACAAGGATACGAATGGAAGCGCTCAAAGACCGCTCTGCTGTAACTGCTGTCTGCCCAATGTAACTTGGATGAGGAGACCAACCTAGTGTTTAATAACAGTGACAAAAATTGGCACCAATTTTCTGTAAAGAGCCTTCTATTCTGTGAGCTATTGGGCCAGTTTGGGCTAACACTGCCATGCAGGATCTCCTCATTCATAGGACTCCTAAATTCAGTTGCAAGAGTCAGATCTATGTTTGATTACATTAAGACATGATGACAGCCTCAAGCAAAATTTAGGTCCAGGAGAACTTTGTAACCCAGTAGGCTGGAGTTCTGCACTCCCAAGAAGCTAGTTCAAGGACCAGAGGAAAAACCCATGATAAATCATGTATTATTTCAATTCATTAAAAAAAAAAAAAAAAGTATTTTCAGTATCACCAAGATGAAAACTCAAGACTTAACTCACAATGTCCTGGTTTTACTGACAACCTGTAAGCAGCCTGAGTATAGCCATACTAAGTGAAGCCTCTTTGGAAAGGGGCAAAACCCAGAAGGCCATGCGGGCTTGGATTCACAAAAGTATCTTTTCTTTTAGGTGGTAAGGTAGATGCTCTGTAGTGACCAATATGGGACAGCTGTTTACGAGTCACAGGATAGTAATATTTCACATACGTTAAAGCCTCAATTAACTAAACATATGAGTAATGTAATGAGAATGGTGATATAATGAGTCAAGTGGTGAGACTGGTTCTATGAGCTACGTAAAATAAAATTCAGTCTCAAGACTTGATAGTCACCCATCCGTGTGTACCAAACAGGAAACCATGGCAAGAGAGTGTTATTATGTGAAATTAGTTTTCATAATCTGTAGTTTAAAAATATTACTATTCAGAAATTTGGAGCCCAAGCAAAAAATAGAGAGATTCCTCACCACACATGCCTTCCGGTCTTTCCCTCGACCACCCCTCAAAGATCCATACTTGTCTCCAGTTAACCAGGCCCAGGTCAGGGTTTGCAGAGAAGGATGACAGAGGTGGTGGCTGGAAGCTAGGGATTCAAGGACAGAGAAAATGACAGCAGATGTGGGGTTAAAAAAAAAAGGGGGGGGGGAAGGGCAGAAGATGAAAAAGCTAATGAAAAAGCAAGAGAGGCCCAGCTTGTTAAAGGGCACCTCTGCCTTTCCCACCTGTCTGTGGCAACTGATGCAGAAATAAGAAAAAGTATAAGCTTCCTCTGAGGAGTTGCCTAGTACCTCCAACATGCCCTCAATTAGGCTGGACTTTCCCTCTGGGGATGTGTACATAATCCCTGGGTGTGACCTGCAGTACTTCTGTCTTGAGGTCTGAGTTCTGCTTCCTAGGTGCACAGTGCTGCTCCCAGGAACCCTTTCCATGACTAGCAAAACGCCTCACATCCAGGAGTGAGACTAGCAGCAGTCAGCCTCCCTGGACTCTGGGGCTGCCACAGCCTGTTCTCTCTTAGGTGGTGGCCTGGCCTGTCTCTCCCCCTGGTGGTTGGAGAAGGAAACAGAGTAGATGTCATAAAAGGGCAGTTCAATTCAAAATTGAATTGCCTCGTTGCACAAACTTCCAAAGGGCTGCCAAGAGCTCACTAATTATAGATTAATAGTTAAAATACTACCTAAGGAACTCATTGTAAAAGAAACAACTTGCTTGTGAGGCCACACCACAAACTTTGAGAGGTTCTGATATTGTCTGCTTCCATTTTTGGTGTCTTTTTCCTGTGACAAAGAAGTTTTTTTTTTTTTTTTAAAGGGTGGAAGAGTTTTTTCTCCTCTGGAAATCTTATGAACTTTCTTGAGTGAAGTGCCTAATTGCAGAGCTTACAAACAAAGAAGAAAAAAATGTAGATTATCTGGAAGTATTAAATGAATATGAGCATAGTAAGGCGTGGCTTGCTCTATCTACTTCATCTCTCTGTAAAACATCCAGGAAATGGTAATGGGCACCTGAATTATTGATTTGCAAATGATAATTAACACATGAGTGAAAAAAGCAGTAAGATTTCGTGGAGGCAAAATTCACGTTGGTTGTTTCACCTCTGGGGACGGTCGGTTTGCACTTGAGTTTCACATTAGCCTTTTTCTCTACTTTCTTTCTACTTGATGTTTTTCAGGAGGGCAGTCCGGGCGTTCACAACTGCTTTGAAGGCATCTTCACTACCAGGTGCTACACATTTGTCTGGGTGAAGAAGCACAGCAAGCTTCCGATAGGCTTTATTGACTTCATCCCTAGGAAAAGGAGAAAGCTCTAAATCAGGAACACTGTCAGTTTCAACACACTGCATTTTAGCTGTTTGGACACACGTTAAATACCTGTTTTAGTAAGTACTTTTATCCTGAATAATCATACCCTTTCAGAAAGGTGGGTCTAAAGGTCTAGGAATCAGTCAAACAAACAGTATGTAACATACAAGTAAAAGCAAACAAACAAACAGATACAATGGAAAATGAGTATATAAATGGTAAGGAAACAAATAAATGACAAAAAGAAAATAGACAGTGCTTGGCACAAGGGGCTGTTGTCATCATGTTATTAAGTACTAGATTGGTCTCCTCTCCAAGCTACACAAAGATTGCGCAAAATCTTTGCTGACTGAAGGACTGAGTCTCTGAGTTCATGAGACAATCAGGGAAAGCCTTGGAAATAGTGTTCTGAAAGATGAGGCTTAGGATTTACACATCAGTGGGGAAATACAGGCTACCTGGGGAAATGAAACCGTCAAGGGCTAACCATGGAGCACGAGGAAACCGTGCAGGGAAGTAACAAGAAACAATGTTGGCCAGGGAGCAGGGGTCAGTAAGTGAAGGGGCTTGAAGGCAAAACAACAACAAAAAAATTGGATTTGACAATAATAGTAGGCATTTCATGACACAATGGTATTGGCAAAGCTACTTCTTGAAGTTAGGGGACAGACAGGATAGGTGGTGGGCACAATGACAAGAATGCAGCAGAATTTAGATTAAGGTGTTTGTGGAAACAAACGGGAAGATAAGGGAGAGAATACAAAGACAGACTTGGCAGGAGTAGCTGGTGAGTGGAATATACAGGTGGAGAAGCTGTAATAGAAAGGGGCTGAAATGAGTTCCAGTGTCAAGAGATCCGAGGCCCAGGGCAGATGGTGACCCCACTGCCCAAGAGAGGGACCCTGAGACCAAAGAAGAAAAAGGAGAGAGAATACTGTCCAGAGAGAAAAGCAGCAGGAACAATGCTTCTCCAAAGCCCAACAGGCACTGATTGCAAACCAGCAGAGCTCCAGGAGAGATCTTCAGGCTTCTGATCTGCTGAGGAAGCAGGAAAGCTGTGTGCAAGGAGTCTGGAGACTGTGCCCTTCCCTCTCCCTGCTCTCCAGTTGTCCTCTGTTGTCAGGTCTTCTCTGACTCAGAGTGTAGAGGATTCTAAGTACTCAGTCATGCCCCTGCTCAGACTGAACTCACTCCCTCCCAGCAGGTTTTATTTCCATCTTCCAACTGTAATTCAAAGTTCCAGTTATGCTATAAACATGAGTATGGTGCTTCCCCAAATTCCTACCCTTTTTCCTTTTTTTTTAAAATCAGGATTTTTAATTTGATCTCTCTGAATTAGAGATGGTTTTTGATAACTTGGATATGACAGAAAGTCTTATGCATAAACTTGGAGAGATGTTATAGAGTCATGTTAACAAGTCTCCACGTCTGGGGCATACAGTCTCTGTGCTTATCAATACACAAAGGAACTTGTTTCCAACCAGCTAGCAGCAGACTGTTTCCTACCATTAAAGAAAGCTAGGGCTTCTTCTGCTTTCTGATCTTAGAGGTGTCCTTCTGAATTTTCTTGCCTTAACATTGCTTGTAGTTTTTCTACATAGATAATACTGATATTAGCTGACAAAAGTCATATTCTCCCTCTTGAAATCTGAATTGCCAGGATTCTTATTTTTCCAAAAGACCCTTTGTCCTTACATTAGATACAGCTTCCTCTCTTCCCAGTGAGTCAGTCATGGGCAGGGTCCCTCCAACAACTCTGCTTCCTGAGTGAGGATGCCTGGGTGTGATTAGTAGTGAGACCTTGTCCTCTTCACTAAAAGTGCCTTTCAAGAGTTCTAGGCAGCAGGAGACACTCTTGTGGTAAATTTTTGGAAAAACAAGACTGATTGAGGAATGTAATAGGAATATAATGAATATTATCAATTCTGCTGAAGATTTTCTTAAAATTCAAGAATAATAAGTATAACATTGAATAAACACTAAAACTCTATAATTCAAGACAAAAATGTTCTTAGATTTTACCCACATGTGCTTAATACTATATAAAAATTAGCTTGATAGACTAAATGGAAAAAGGTTAGAGAAGTACAAGCTTATATTGGTTAAGAATATAGAACTTACGGAGGTCCTGTAAGTTTTGTTAGATTCTAATTAACTACAGGAAATAAATAAGGAATTAAAAGTTTCCTTTCCTTAATGAGTACTGTTCTAAGTTAATTAGTAAGTTCATAAAGTAATAGTTCCTTAATTTTAGAGTCAATATCCATTGGAGAAGAAATGGAAGAATGTAAGATGAGACTACAGAGGTCAAAAAAGATATTTAAAAGACACCAATAAATTCTGTGCTATATACATGAGGTTATCTGAATTCCTTCCCATATCCAAAGCATCCTCAGCAATGCCTGACAAGTTAAGGGTAACTGTGCTCTTCCCTTCCTTTCTTTCCTTCTAGACTTTAGGGTATGCTATGAGACTAACACGGACTAGAGATACTTAAGCTTTTGGTGCTTACAAGGCAATGGTAAGAAGTACCTTTTTCTTTTGTGAACATCAAGGTGAAAAAGTAGAGAGAGAAAATATGATGAAGAAAGATGTAGTGAAAACTGAAAAAATGTGAGAACTCATCCATTGTAATACGCATAGTAACAATAGTATTGCATCTTTAAAAGTATGTAATCACACTGAACAATGATGTATTTTGCACAATCAACAAAGAATAGTAGTTACATTTCTTTTCCTCCTGAATATTTATTTTGGGAGAAAAGTACCTGGCTAAAATAAAACAGTTTAACACAAATATACACAGAGAGGAGTTAGCAGGATGTATATGCGTGTGTGTCTGTGTGTGTCTGTGTGTCTGTGTGTGTGTGAGAGAGAGAGACACACACACACACACAGAGGCAGACACATAAGTCAAGGTCAAGAGCCAGTTCTATCACTAACTCATTGGGATCCTTGAAAGGGTGTTCAGTCTCACTGAATCCTAGTTTTCCCACCTATAAAATGAAATGTTTGGACAAGTTGATTACTAGCACTCTTCTCTTCTCTAAAATTCTATGGTTGAAGAATTCTCTTTTTGTAAGGCTTTTTTTTTTAAGGATATATTAGCTTCAAGGCTCTTATTTATACAGACAAAAGCAGAGCATAAGGTATTTACACACATATTATTTACACATATATATGACAGTTCCCTTATCAGACAATTGTGCCCTCTGTTCCTTTCATATTCAAATAATTCAGTGAAGCAGAGTCATTAAGTAATCTGATATATTTCCATACATCTTCCTATTTCTAGCCAATTACAAGATTTATCGCATCTGTAATTTTTTTGATTATTGGGTCTTTCTCTGTAACATAACTCAGCACTAAGTAACCTAGAGTATTGCTTACCTTGAGGCCCCAGGTTTGACTCCCAGCATGTCCCAACTATCTTTGCTATTTCGAATTCTGCGAATGGTGTCTGCTTGTTCTTTGGTGAAACTAGCACTGCTATTTATGACAGGATGTTTCCCGCCATTTTCACATAAGTCAACTATGGATACATAAAAGGTCTGCAAAAAGAAAACATAACCCAGAGTAGAACTGATTTTGTGAAAAGAGGAATTTCTTTTAAGTATCAACTCAAGGCTTTAATATATTCTAATAATTCTTAAAGTTATGAATAAAGCAAATATGTACTTTGGAAGATCTTTTTTCTCTTACTCTCTCTCTCTCTCTCTATATATATAGCATAAAGAATAAAATTTAAGTGACTCATAATCCTACACTCAGGCAACTTCACTTGAAGTTAAAAAGCAGTAGATAAACATTGTTAGAAAAATTCAAATAGCCTCAAAAAGTTAAACACAGAATTATCACATGACCATGAAAGTCTTGTTTGTTGTTTGTTTGTTGTGTGCCATCGAGTCGGACCCGACTCATAGCGACCCCTCCTTGGGTTTCCGAGGCAGTATCACTACGGAAGTAGATTGCCCCATCTTCCTTCCGAGGAGTGGCTGGTGGGTTTGAACCGCCAGCCTTCTGGTTAGCAGTCAAGTGCCTTAGCCACTATGCTACCAGAGCTCCCTATGAAAGTCTACACCTAGGAAAATATCCAAAAGAACTGAAAACAGGTATTCAAACAATACTTACATATAAATGTTCATAGAAGCACTATTAACAATAGCAAAATGTGGAGCAATGCAAATGTCCATCAACTGATAAATGGATAAACAAAATGTGGAATGATATTCAGCCATAAAAAGGAATGAAGTACGGATACACTTTACAGAGTGGATGGACTTTGAAAACATGCTAAGTGAAAGAAGCCAGACACAAAAGGTCACATTTTGTATGATTCCATTTACAAGAAATATCTAGAATAGGTAAATCCATAGAGATAGAAAGCAAACTGATGGTTCCTTGAACTGAGGGGAGGGAAAACGGGGATGAGTGCTTAATGGGTATAGCCTTCCTTTTGGGTTGAGGAAAATGTTTTCAAACTAGATATGGGTAGTGGTTGTACAACATCGTGAATGTATTAAATGCCACTGAACTATATACTTTAAAATGGTTAATTCTGTGTTATGTGAATTTTACCTCAATAAAAATTCAAATAGTAAAAAAACCACTGCCATCAAGTGGATTCCGACTCGTAGTGACCCTAGAGAACAGAGTAGAACTGCTCCATAGGGTTTCAAAGGCTGTAAATCCTTACAGAAGCAGACTCCTCATCTTTCTCCTGCAGAATGGCTGGTGGTTTAAACTGCCAACCTTTTGGTTAACAGCTGAATTCTTTAACCACTGTGCCATCAGAACTCCTTTCAAATAGTAAAGAAAATGTAAAATGAAAACTATGTCTTCCTATCCCTCAAATTCCTCTCCTCAAGGTAATCATTGTTAATATTTGAGTATCCTTCTGTGGTAGTTATATTTGTGTGTCACCTTGGCTGGGCCTGGTTGAGTGGCTGGGCAGCTGATGGTAGTTATTTCCCATGATGAGACTGGTAATCAACTCCACGGTGGGATCTACCACAAGCAGCTGAGTAGCTGGCTTTGGAATATGGTCTGCTTCCTATATTTAAGGAGAAGTCTTAGGAATGGTCTCTAGCCTACGGCATGCTTGGATCCTGCATGTAGCCGTGTCATTGCTCAGCAGCCTGCCATGCTCTGCCGACCTTGGGACTTACAATGGACTTGAGCTAATGGCCTGCCATGTAGTTTGGTAACATCAGGACTGTGCCTTTTTACTTGTCAACCTTGGGCTTCTCAGCCTCAGCAGTCAGCAGCTGTCTGAGTAAAGAGAAGTCTCTACTCCAGTGGGCTGGGAGCAGGAGTCAGACCTGGACCCCAAGGCTGAGGGGCTTTCACCCAGTCCTAGAGCCTGGCACTTTGAACTTGGACTTAAAGCCTCCAAACCGTAAGAGAATAAACTCCTGTTTGTTAAGGCCATCCCATTTGTGGTATATTCCTGTCAGAGCAGCACTAGGTAACCAGAACACCTTCCATAAAGTTTTTGTATCAGTACACCAGCACATACACACATCCACATCCTTTAAACATTTACATGAGAGAGATCACTTAGATACATCATTTTTTTCACACAATAATATACCTTGGACTCTCTAGAGCTGCATGCAGAGACAGCTCTTCCCCATTCTTTTAATGACTGTTTTGTATTTTGCTGTGTGGCTGTACTGCCATTTATTGAACCAGTTTCCTATTCTTGGACAAGTGAGTTGTTTCTAATTTTTTGCTTTAGTAAATATTTTTTGTGTATACAACTCTGAACACTTGTGGGGACAGGGCTTTAGGATAAACTCCTAAAAGCAGAAGTGTTGAGTATATGTGCATTTTGACTTTTGATTTGACAACCACTCTCCAAAAAGGCTACACCAGTCTATACTCCCATCACAATAGATGAGAGGGTCTATTTCTGTCAACACTAGATACCATCATACATCTTCATTTTTGCCAATCTGATATGTATCTCATAGTTTTGATATGCATTTCTTTAAGTATAGGTGAGATTGAGTATCTTTTTATATGTTTATTGGCCTTTGTGTCATTTTTTGAAACCTGGCTGTTCATATTCTTTGCCCATTTTTATGATGGTTTGTTAGTTAAAACTATTTTTTTTTATTCTGCTCATATCTTACACTGGCTGCATTGTTACTATTATTGAATAATTCCACTCAAAATATTAATATAATACATTTGTGTTGCTTTTAAACTGACATATCTCCTCTTTTTTAAATCTCTTCCTCTTCTGTTTTTCAGATATTTCTATATTATCTTCCACAAAACTTATCTTTCTCTTAGATTCCTCTTACTTATCTCCAGTAATAGCTAATTGACTTGTCAGTCTAACAAGGAGTCTTGTGGAAGGAAAAGCCATTAGATACTAAGTCAAAAGAACTGGTACACCATCCGATCTGCAACCTATACAACTATGAGACCAGAAGAACTAGATGGTGCCCAGCTACCACTGCCATCCACTTGGAAGGGATGTAGGAGATCCTGCATAAAGAGGGAGAACAATGTGGTACAAAACTCAAAATCATTTGGAGACAAAAAAAAAAAAAGAAGGTGGGGACCAGGTTTGCTGGTCCAATGGAACCTGGTGTAACCACTGAGACTATGGCCCCTATCTGCCCTTCAGGTCTGGAATTGAACCCACAACTGTGGTTTCCAGCCAAACAAAGTACAGGCATGTGAGTTAAACATTTACCTCAAGTAGACACACGCCCTGGAGAGAACAATCATGGGAGAAGGAAGGGCTGCTTATGCACAGGGAGATAGCTCAGGGTGCAGAAGAGTATGAAGGGATGGACACTGGGAGGAGGTAACTATGGGGAGGAAGTGGGAGGGGAGCTGCTGCATTGTAAATTTTGGTCAATGACATGAGACAAAGTATATGTGAACTGCTGTATGAAAAGTGAATTTACTCTGTAAATCTTCACCCAAATCCTAAAAAAAAAAAAAAAAAAAGAACTGTTATCTTGGTTTCCGTCTATCTTAATATTATTTTCTCTTTTAACAATGTAAGAGAAAACCAAGTTATCTTCCTGACATACAATGTCTGTGAAGAAAATTATTATTAAATAGAACCAACAGTAAAGCACTATGTCTAAGTGCTTACTCACAGAATAGTTTGATTATATTATTCATCATGTTAGCCTTTTTTTTTCTTTTAATTTTCTTAGCAGACTAATTTGCCTATTAGTTCTACCCAAGATTTATGTGAAAGGATAAAAGCCACCTAAAAAGGATCATGGTTCATAATATTTGCCAGTGGTATCAGAATGAGAAATACATCATAAAGGTTTTCTTCTAGCCTATGAGCTAACCTGAAATATAAAAGCTCACAGATTTCTGAGGACATAAGTATTCATTCACAACACACAAAGTAATAGAACATAAGCTATGGTGAGGCATACAGAACGCTAGAATTGAAGTCAAAAGTCTCTGTTTAAATTTCAGGTCTGAAGTCCAGCCATGACAGAGTAATGGGTACTGGACTGGAAAAAATACATGAGGCAAGTATTTTTAGGCAGTGGCTGACAGCCTGTGCAAGACCTTGATCCCTGAGAAGAAAGCTTCTCAATCATCTGGTTCCCTGTCTGGAGTTTCCTGATCATGTCACAGAGAGTTGGAGTCTGAGCAGACACAAAGTCCTATTGAATTAAGGAGGAAGAGATCAGAGTTTGAGGCAGCTGAAGTGGCTAGAATCTTCATAGCACACACTGAATACAGAAAGCTGTGCAGAGCTGGGATCCCCGAAGTTCATGTGGGCGTTCTCCACTAGTTTATACTGAGGCTATACACACACAGGGTGAGATCACTTGAATCTTAGCAGATAGCAGCTGCAGTGGGGTTGGGAAAAGAACCAATATACTAGAAGTGGTGCAAGAGGAAGAGTTTTGCCTTGGCAGAATGGAAAGATTGCCCCAACACTTCATTACTACTTTTAGTAGCTAGCTGAGATACTACAAAGGGTGTACCTTAGGAATTGGGTTTATCCTAAAAATCCCTAAAACTAATAGCTGGCAAGATCTGCAAGACAGAATTTGGAAGCTGAGATCTGCCAAATTAGCTTGGGGAAAACAATGGACTTCCTTTGTTGTTGTTGTTGTTGTTATGTGTCATCGAGTTGGACTCGACTCATAGCGACCCCTCCTTGGGTTTCTGAGGCGGTATCACTACGGAAGTATATTGCCCAACCTTCCTTCCGAGAAGGGCTTCCTTTAGATCCTTGCTATTAAAGTGAGAAACAAAGGCTGCACAGGTTCAATATAATCTGCCAGTAATTTAACTGCCTGCTACAACAAGAACCAACAGTCTTCAGAGGAAGATAACAGAATTTAAATTCTCTACAATGTATTTTTCACGATTCTGGTGTCCCATTGAAAATCACTACCCACACAAACAAGAAAATATGATCCATAATTAAGAAAAACAGAAGTCAAAAGAAGCTGAATCTGAGATAGTTCAGACACTAGATTTAGAGACAAAGATTTTAAAGCAACTATTATAAATATAGTCAAAGAATTAAAGGAAAAATGTTCAAAGAATTAAAGAGAAAATATAATCTCAGTGAGTGAGAACTAGGAACTATGCCAAACAACTAAATTTAAATTCTACAACTGAATAAAAATTTCACATTATAGGTTTAACAGAAGATTGTTAGTGAAGTTGCAATCAGATCAATAGAGACCATTTAATCTGAGAAATGGAGGGAATAAGTGGAAGGAAAATCAACAGAACCTCAGGGAATATGGGATAAAATTAAATAGTTCAATATACATGTAATTGGAGCCCTAGAGAGAGAAGAGAGTGAAATGGGGCAGAAAAAAATTTGAAGAAATAATCTTCAAAAACGTCCCAAACTTCATGAAAAACTCCTGTCTACCAATCCAAGAAACTTAGCAAACATAAATAGGATAAATACAGAGAACCATACCTAGGCATATCATAGTCAAAATGCTGAAGCCTATAGATTAAAAAACTTTTGAAAGCAGCTAGAGAGACAGAGTGAAGATACATTATGTACAGAGAAATAAGTAAGAAACAATGATGACACATATGAGACACAACTGAGACCAGAAGACCATGGAATAATATCTTTAAAGTGCTGAAAGCAATTTTTGTCTTCAACAGTTATTATTTTAATCTCTTGAACAAGTCACTTTACTAATCTTAGTCTCAGAGTTCTTATTTTTGAAATAAGAATAATACCTGCCTTATATTGTTGTTACGAGTCTCAGATGAGATCAAACGTGTAAAATTCTCCAGAATTATAAACTACTACTCAATAGTTGTCATTAGTGTGCATATATTGATATAAACTCACACAGGTCTATGTACTGAAAAAAATATGAAGCATGGCAAATTAACATCAACTTTATTTGGTCTTGAAATAGAAGCTACTGATACACAATTCAGCCCGTCACGCAAGGATGAAACCTGTCTTCTAGAAGGAAGGATGACATCTTGTGAGAAAGAAATTCAGCATAAAAGATAGAATAAAATCCCACTCAATAATTAAGAAGAATTCTTTAGAGTATGCTTACATTATTTCAAATGCTAAAAATTCCCAAAATATCACATGTATTCATAAGAAGAAAAATGCATTATTCATGCTACCACTTTCTTCCAAATATATCTATAATTAACAGTTGATTTAACTTTGTAACTTATTGTTTTAAACTGCCTCCTTTTCTTAAAATTATTCAAGATTAATGGTCTTAAACGATGATCATTTAATCAGGTTGCAATGGGAGTAGATCCTTTTCTTATTTACGTGATTGGTGAGATCTTATTTTTTATGTCTGGCTGGCAATGATAGTCTCCTATTAATTCTCTAATTACACCTGTAGGCTACAATTTGGGACTATATTAGCTGTGGCAAGAAAATTTTGCCACAGTAATGCTTGTATTTGATTACATATACAAATGTCATAGGCTACAAATTAGCCAAAGGTGATTTTAAAGAATATTTTTTATCCCACTTTAATGTATGATATAGTTCTTAAACTTGATGATCATCAGAATTACATGGAGAGCTTTTACAAAATACAGATTCCTGGGCTCTATCACTATCACAACTTTAACCTTCCAGTAGGTCTGGAGCCCAGAAGCCTATTTTGAAAAATCTCCCCAGGTAATTGTGATGATCATCCAGATTGGAATCTACTGATTTATAAACAGACAGAAGACAGAACACACACACACACACACACACACACTCATTGACTCTCCAGCTTCTGTAAAGAAAGAGCTTATTCTAAATGGAAATGACTATTACTTTATTTAAACTAAAATTTGGTATAGTCAGCCTTCACATGAACCCTAAAGTGACAAAATGCTAGGTTACCTGGAACATCTCATTGATTCCTTCTCCAGTTTGTGCTGAAGTTTCAAAGTACAGGAACCCTTTGCTTTCAGCCCAAAGACGCCCTTCACTTTCATCTACACAGCGGTGCTTGGTACAATCAATCTGAAATACAAAGTTGGGAGGCAGACAGAAAATTCTAAACTTGTCCCACCAGAATAGTCCCAGTGAGGTTTTTGCCCATCCTTTACTTAGACAAAAACTATTGTTCCTCAGCAGTAGTATATAAAATTGCTAGGACCAAAAGGGACAAAAATACTTAAAGTGAATGTAGACTGATTTTCTGTGGCAGAAGGACTCATGCCTCACTATAGTACTTCCTCTTTATCTGTGGGAAAACAGCTGATACTCATCTCTGTGAAAGCTGACCTCATAACATCTGCTTTTCATGTCTTTCCATAGTCCACATTTCACCTATTTATGCCCCCACTCTGATTAGGTTTAAGTGTGATTATTAGCATCTACCATTCTTACTCAGTCACCAATATCCTCCTCTTACTATGATGCTGGGGCAGCAGGTTTTGTTTTTTTGGTGTTATTGTCTTAGGGAGACATGTTTTGAAAGATTGTTGATTCTTATATTACACATTAAGAGATTTTTGTTTCTTTTTATTTGTTCTCCAAAATGCAGAGCTGCACTCTTTCCATAATGAATTTAAAAAGTTGATCATACCATTTCCAAACCAGTTACCTTGTTGGCACACACTACAAATACAATGTTTTCCATGTTTCCATGAGGTCCAAGCTCTTGCTTCATTTCTGCCAGCCACACATCAAGAGCGTCAAAGGAGTCTTTCTGCCCAACATCATAAACCAGTATTACACCCTGTGTGTCCTTGTAAAATTCATTGCGAACCTTCACATAAAAGAACAGATGCATAAAATACAGGTCTTGTCATTTTATAAAAATGTATCTCACAATGTGTTCTTTTGTGTAGTCATAGTATTTGGTATTGTACCTCAGTATCTTCTGGCATTTAATTATCAAAGAAATATAAACACATGATTTAAAAACCTATTAGTACAGAAAGACTTATAATAGACAATGGCCTCTTGCCCCACCCCCTTCTACTCCCCAGAGAAAATTAATCTTTTAGTAGCTCTTAAAAAAACACAAATTATATAAAAAGTAAAGCTCTTCTTAGAAAGAACTAGGAAGGTGAGTGAACAATTATAAAGAATTTAAGGCAAAAATGACATAGGTATCAGCAAGAGCCACAGCCATATACATTATATTGCAAAGTTGGCTTCCCTCCGAGTGCCAAGCAGAGGTTCCCTAGGACTCTTGGGCCTGTCCACCAACTTTGGAACTCTAAACTCAGAGCCTCAGTATAGGGTAATGGGAAAGAGCACAGGCTCTGGAACCAGACAGATCTGAGTCCACGCTTACTTACTAGATGTGTCATCTTGGGCAAGCCACCTAACCTCTCTGCATCTCAGTTTCCTCATCTGTAAAATGGGGATAATACTACTTACTTCACAGGGTTATTGTGAGGATTAAATGAGATAATGAATGGTGCCTGGAAAGCAAAGTGTATGAGCACCTTTTCCCTTCTTCCCTTACGTTCATTCTCTGATTGACCTCTGTTGATATTTTTATTAGAAACAGCAGTTCATCTCTAGGGCGTATCTACAATTTTGGGAAGAGGCAGTGTTAAGTATAAGGTACTTTAAAATAAGAGGCAACAAGAGGCTAAGTGAGTGAGGAGCAATACTGACAGACCTGGGGCTTTCAGGCCAAAAAGCCAGTAAGAACCTTGTCGTAAAAACCCTGTCAAAGGCCATGTATTATACACTGCTTTCATAAAATTCTGGCTTGTACCAAGACTCACACTAAAGAAAGAAGGTATCTTACACTCACCAGACATGGAATGTGTATGGATTTCTGAGCAAAGATATACACCTGGACCAAGAATAAGTCCCTACTAATTTTCAGAAACCTAAGAAGTTATCCTCTAAAATTAAAACCAACAATAACAGAAAGAATTTTAAATGATGAAGACTACTAAGTAGTCTTTTTCTGTCAGTACTCATGAGGTACTTAACAATGGGGACTCTCAATTCTTTCCTGAAATTCTTGCTGCCTTGGCTCCCTGGTCCTTAAATTATATGTCTTTCATCAACTCTTCTCTATACTACTCCAAAATCCCCTGCCACGGATTGAATTGTATTTCTCCAAAATATATGTCAACTTGGCATATGTAATTTGGCAATTAGATTATGATGTAATCATCCTCATGATGTGATCTGATGTGATCAATCAGTTGTAAGGACATTAAAGCAGATGTAACATCCTTACTCAGGTCACAGCCCTAATCAGATGCAAGGGGAGTTTTTCTGGGGTGTGGTCTGCATCACCTTTTATCTTACAAAAGAGAAAGTAAGCAAAGAAGAGGAACCTCAGCATCATCAAGAAAGAGCTGGAGTAGACTATGTCTTTTGGACCTGGGGAAGACGGATGCCACGATAGATGGAGATCTCCAAGGGACGCTGAGCCCACAGATGTTGAAAAGAGACAAGGACCTTCCTCCAGAGCCAACAGAGAGAGCTGGTGCCCTGAATTCAGCTTCTAGCTTCCTAAACTGAAAGAAAATATCTTTTTTTTTTTGTTAAAGCCATTCATTTGTGGTATTTCTGTTTTAGCAGCACAAGGAATCTATAGACATCCCCAAATCCTGTCCTAGGTAGGCCCTTTTCCTTTCTTGGTTAATCCTTCTTCTCAACTAAGCAACATCAATCACTTGTACAGTTTCAACTGTGAGAACCTCCAAGGTGCCTTTCATCTGAGCTGTCATACCTGCTTTTCCAATTAGCACTAGATTCTTTTACCAGAATGTCCTCTTGGAGTCCAAACTCAGTATGTACAATAGAAAATCTATCAACTTCTTCCTCTCAACGTTTCCTTCTTTTAAATGTCTGTTGATAAAAGTGGCATACCATTCTCCAAGTTTTTCAGGTTGAAAGCTTGGTGTTAACCTTTGCTGTTTTCCTCTCCTTTTGCTGAGCAAATTCACAGTCCTGAGGGGCCATCTCTTCTATGTTTCTTGCACCTGTCACTTTCTTTCCATATTCACTGCCAACATTATCTTCTGACTGTACCACTTCAAGAGTCTTCAAAGTAGTCTCCATAGCAACATCATACACTGCCTATTTATCTTTCTAAAGCTCTCTTGTCATTTAATTTCCACTGTTCAAAAATTCTTGTTTCTCCACCATCTTTAAGACTGCATTTTAATAACATTAAAAGTTTCTGATCTGCCTTTCACCAACTTTTCCAGTATTACCTTCCCTATTATCCTATTCTTTAAACCAGGTAATCTCTCATTCCTGAAACCTGCCCTGTGCCTTCCTAACTCCACCCAAAAATGGACACCATTTTATCTTCTATGCTATATCTTACTGGAAGTATTTTCCTGCCCCATTCTTCACTATCTAAACCCTCTAACCACCACCCACTGCTATCCTGTCAATTCCAACCCACACTGAACTTATAGAACAGAGCAGAACTACCCCATAGGGTTTCCAAGGCTGTAAATCTTTACGGAAGTAGGCTGTCTCATCTTTCTCCTGCAGAGTGTCTGGCAGGTTTGAACCACTGATCTTCTGTCTAGCAACTGAATGCCTTAACCATTGCACCACTAGAGCTCTTTTCTAACACCCCCACCCTTTGCCAATCTCTCTCCTAGAATAGCACAACATTCTGTACTTCCAATAGTACTCATATCACACCCTGCTTAGTTTTATAGTTAGTAGCATATCCAGTTGTCTTCCCCACTAGACTGTAAGCAACATGAAGGCATGGATCTTAGAGCACCTATTTTTGTGTCACCCACAGGACCTAGCAGCTATAAGAATTTAAGACATATTTGTTTCACAGAAAGGCTGAATGTGCTACAGTAGAGAACAAAATGGTTGTGAAGGACTGGACAAAGGAAACAAGAAAGAATTTCAATGCAGGCCATGCTGTCCACTGGGAGATTTACATATAAAAGTAAACTTAAACAAGTTCAATGGACTTCTCTTTCAAAGGACTTATGGTCAAGTTTGGGCTCAGCAACGAGCTATCTATGTAATCTTGTTATTTGCTGTTACATGCTGTCAAGTCAGACCTGACTCATAGTGACCCCTCCTTGGGTTTCCAAGGCAGTATCACTACGGAAGTAGATTGCCCAACCTTCCTTCCAATATGTAATCTTAAATAAGTTATTTTATTACCCCAAGCATTAGCTTTCTTATCCGCAAAATGAAAAAGTCAGAGTGGATGTCTCAGTGGTCCACTACAGTTCTATTCTAGTCTCCCCCAAAAAGCTTTTCAACATTAGTTCTGGCAGGCTTGCTGAACCCAAAGTTTGATTAAACAAGATCTAAGGGAATTAGAATTCTTTAATTCTTAAAGAAGTGGAGATGGAAAACCACCTAGTTTATAGGTTTTAGAGCAAGCTGTTGGTTTAATAACACTTAGGCCTCAGAAAACTTCTACAATCAAGCTTCTATGAGATCCTCTAACTCATACCAATAAACTTTAGAATTCAGGCATCTACATCAGTGGAAGCAAGACTGTTGGCTGGATATAAGCCCTACCATTTCCCTTTGACACTTCCGTTTTTATGAGCTGAAAAATAAGTAAATAAATAAAGCAATTGCAGTTTCAGGTTGTATTAATAGGAGTCTAGCATCTAATGGCAGAAATTAGCAGAAACAGTGTTTTTTACTAGACTGTATCTGGGATGTGTGTTCCACATCAGCCATCTAAAGATGATCCAAAAAGGATGTTGACTAGCAATGCTGATAGGCCAGGCTGTAGCAGGAATAAAAAATGTTTCACCTGGAGAGGAGCAGACTAAAAAAATACTAGAAACATTCTTTTGTAGAAGTATCAGTCTATGTCACTTCAAAAACAAGGCTGGAATCAGTAGGGAAAGACAAAGGAAGGTAGCCTTTATGTACGGAGAAGCTGGTACAGGTTTTAACTCTGTACATGATTATCTCATGAAGCAGTGAGACTCTATCAGAGCTATTCATTCACCAAACTTTTATAGCTGGCACCTTAAAAACTACCCTATGTATATTTTCCTGGACTCCCACCAAGCCACATAACTCTTACTTACTCATCAGCTATCAGTTTAAGCATTGCTTCCTTCAACAGAACTTCCTGACCTCCCAGATAAGTTAGGTTTGAATATTAAGTACTCTCAAGCATTTCTGTCATTTGCTTAATGTGTGTCTTCTTTGATAAGCTACATGTGGGCAAAAACAAACAAACAAAAAACTCCAAATCCACCATCACTGAGTCAATTCTGACTTGGTCACCTGGTATGGCAGAGTAGAATCAAAGACTCTCAAACATAGGAATAGAGAGGAACTTCCTCAACTTGCACCTACAAAAAAACCTACAGCTATATGGAAAAACCAATCACTAATTTATATGGAAAGGAAAGAGACCTCGGATAAGCAAAGCACAATTGAAGAACAACAAAGCAGGAGGTCTCACACTGCCAGATCTCAAAACCTACTATAGAGCCACAGTAGTCAAAACTGCCTGGTATTGGTATAATGACAGACACATAGACCAATGGAATAGAATTGACAACCCAGAAATAGATCCACCGACTTATGGTCAGCTGACCTTTGACAAAGGCCCAAAATCCATTAAATGGGGAAGAGAATGTTTAACAAATGGTGCTGGCAAAACTGGATATCCATTTGCGGAAAAGTGAAACAAGATCTGTACTTCACACCATACACAAAAACTACCTCCAGATGGATCAAAGACTTAAATGTGAAACCTAAAACTATAGAGTTCCTCAAGGAAAAACTAGGAGCAAATTTAGGGGCCCTAATATATGGCATAAATAG